ATACATGAAATATCAGCAGCTTATTATCATGACCATCAGCACAGCCATGTGCAGATCCGCTGCCTGCCTGTAATTAACCCTAATGAACCTTAGAGTATGGCCGGCTGGCCACGGAAGTTTAACATTGTGGATGAGGTGCATGCTGGATACTGCAGGTTGACCATACATGTATCGTAATACGATACAGGGCAGCCTGACAGTCAGTATAGTATATAGACAATGAATTCTTAATGTAACGGGACTTGACCCTCGGACAGCGGCTAGGCAGGTGGGCTGACGATCGCCTCTGTGATGCTGCCTGGCCGTTGCTGCACTATCATGTAATTACATACTTAGCTGACGAATAAAGTGTTGTGGACCCACTGATGGACTTTTGTGTTTGAAGAGACAATATCCCCCAAAACGCGTTAACCAGCCCGGGATATTACCTGTCACAGAATAAGATAAGTTTGAACTTATTTCAAATAAACTCAAGCTAAATTTTGTCAAACTCCATATTATAATACAATTTATCACATACCATGAATAGATATTTAGTAAATTAGTTATTCATAGAATAAAATTCATCAGTAGTGTATATGTAGTGGCATATGTTGTCTACATGTGCCAATGGGTAGGAGAAAATATACCGCCTGTAAATAGGTAAGACATTTAAATGAATGGAACCCACAAAGTATATGCTATGAGGGGCGCGGTGGGCGAGCTGGCTAAGGCGCCAGTCTATAGTGATCCAGCGAGGTTGAGATGTCGGGATCGAGCCCACCTGTGACCGGGTGTAAAAACCTTGGAGTCAACATAGTGTGCAGACTCTTTCAGTGTTGTCACAACCCCTAGTGTACAGTACACAATCCTGTGCACTTAAAAGAACCCACGAATCCGTTGGTATATGACCAAATGGTGGCCGCATGAATACGTGCAAACACCTATAGTTTGGCATGAAATGCATGTGTACCCGGTCTTTTGTAAATATCTCTTCATCCAATGACCTAATCGATCTCAAACTGTGCAAGTGGATGTTTTGTCAGACAACCTAATCACATTGTAAATCACCGATTTTATGCATTTGTATTAAAGAATCTGTCTATGTAACTGTCAACAAAATAAACAGCAGAACGCCGACTGTTTGCAGAGGGAGGGAGCCAATGACCTGTAACAGCGGCAGTGTTGGGTCATAAAGGTAAATGCACGTGCACTTCATGATAGTTACCTGTGCATTGCGCAATGATAGACCATTTGGATCATTCACATTTAACTACTGCTAGCTGTCATCATGAAAGCTTATTCAGATGATGCTAAACGTTTAATAAGAAATGTGTTTCATTTTCTTTAAAAAGAGAGCAAACGTAGCAAACCGATTTATAAGGTGTCGGATAACATGAAACATACAACTTTTGCTCTTGGCATGAAAAAGAACATCGTGCTAAAAAATGTGAAAAATAAACCAACAATCAAGAAACAAAACCTTGCACAAAAAGGTAGGCACAGGGGAACAGTTTCCAATACCGGTTTCGACTGCCATCAGGCCCTGGACCTGTATGAGATTTGGACTTTTTGATGACACTTTCAGGCAATCTGGTGAGATGTAACAGACAAACGGCCTAGTTACTTTCTCATGCATTGCATGGTCATAATCACGGACCCATGGTGCCTCCAGGTTACAGTTGCCGGGTACAGACCACAACTGTTTCCAGAACCTTTCATTGGCATCCATGGGAGGCCGTTTATTATGCTCACCATCACCGTTTGTTTTAAGTTGCCTGTAGAAGTGTTTTTCATTATTTCTAAAACGTTTATTTTGTTTGATGAATTTATTTTTATTTTCCCAGTTTTTCTTTCTTTCAGTCCAAACCTTTATTTTTGCCTTAAGGGAATCGACAATTTGGAGAAGTATCTTTTCTTTCGTTGTTTTGTATTTCAGTTTTAATTTTCTCCAAATTGCCTTTATTATTATTATTATGTTTTACAGATTAAAGATAATATGCAGCAGAGAGGGTTCGGGTGATCCTGGCACAGTCAGGCTGGTAAGGCTCATCATCAGCTCAGGGCCCTTGCCCCCTCTACACGCAGCCCAGACAGCGAATGGGACTTCTCCCAGGAAACGCTGCCTAGTCGAACCCACCAAGAACTTTCCGGAGAATATGAAGGCTCCCCAACACTGCAGCCTTCTGCATTACCCAGAGTGTCAGAAGGGCTGTACTCCCGGTGGAGAACCCAGGCACTCTCCTGATATGCGCCAAGAGATCAGGAGGTACCAAACCAAGGGCACCGAGAACAATGGGGAGCCTGACGACAGTGTACTTGGGATGCAAGCGAGACATTTCAAAGGCGAGGTCCGCATATTTATCATGCTTTTCCTTGATCTTGTCAATCACATTCCTGTCAAAAAGGGACAGAAAATTCAATGATATATATAAATTCATTGGCTTTATCAAAAAAGGACAAGATCAGGTTTGTTGGCAGGAATTCTTCTGAGGCTGTATATGGGCCTATTCCACAGAAGTTTGAAAGCATCATTTTCCATGACGCCCTGGACATGTTCAGGGTGGTACCATGGATGGACCTCGGAGTCAAAGCCAAAGGCATGTCGGAGACGGTAGTAAAAGCAGCGAGCCATGCCATCATGTCGTTTAAGATATGATGTTTGTGCCAAGGATGGGCATCCACTGACAAGGTGTTGGACAGTCTCTGTGAATTCATTGCAAAGTCGACATTTCATGTTAATATTCTCTTTAAGAATCACATTTAGGCGATTACGAGTGGGAAGTGACTGGTCCTGAGCAGCAAAAAGGAAGCCCTCAGTTTCACATTTAAGACCAGCCGACTTCATCCAGGCGAAGGAGTCTGTGGGATTGCTATTCTGTTCCACACACTGCATGTACACACGATGCAATGGCTTCTCAGAAAGCTTCTCCACAAAAGACCGACTCTGGGCAGACTTGGTGAAGGACTTCACCTGGTTTACTCCCATCGCTGTACCATCCAGCAGTACATCGCCATCAGCAAAGTCAACCTCAAATTTCAGATTCTGTCCAACAACCTTGGCACGCTTAAAATAACTGTGGAATTCCTTGCTTTCATCATGAGTCTTCACATGCATCACCAGAGGATCATCCGATAAATAAATATGTGCAAAAGTACACAATAAAATTCTATCATGAAGAGCCTCCACATTAATCAAACCCCGACCTCCAGAATTGATTGGCATGTATAAACGGTTAAGAGAGGAACGAGGGTGGTGGGCTCTGTTATCAGACATGATCCTTCTGGTCAGACGGTCAAGACTCTGGATGTCTTGTTTCGTCCAATCAACTACTCCAAAGGAATAGGAAAGGACAGGCACAGCAAAAGTATTGGTGGCTTTGACCTTGTTTCGAGCATTTAGCTCTGAGCTCCAGATTTTCTTTAAACGAGATTTGTACTCGGCCCGAAGTTTGTCTTGAATCTGGGCATCCTGGAGCTTGTCTCGAACTTGCATTCCAAGATAGGTGTAGGCCTGATCTTCCACAAGATGCTCAATAACTCCTCCCCCTTGTAACTTGACCGATCCATCATTAGTTACCTTGCCACGTTTCAAATGAAGAGTATTACATTTGTCGAGTCCAAATTTATTATTATGTTTTATAGATTAAAGATAATATGCAGCAGAGAGGGTTTGGGTGATCCTGGCACAGTCAGGCTGGTAAGGCTCATCATCAGCTCAGGGCCCTTGCCCCCTCTACACGCAGCCCAGACAGCGAATGGGACTTCTCCCAGGAAACGCTGCCTAGTCGAACCCACCAAGAACTTTCCGGAGAATATGAAGGCTCCCCAACACTGCAGCCTTCTGCATTACCCAGAGTGTCAGAAGAGCTGTACTCCCGGTGGAGCATACATCATAATGTATATGTACAGTGAAGCGTTTCGAGTCGGGGGTCATCTCAAATTTGTATATATATATTTTTTAAATCTTTAATCCTCGCAAAGACACGAGGGCCTGTGAACGAGGTACCCATTCACAGTTGGGTGGACTGGGACACATAGTCACAGTACTTTGTTCACTGCACGTTGTTGTACCCGCAACTATAGTTTGGCATGAAATGCATGTGGACCCGTTTTTTTGTAAATATCTCTTCATCCAATGATCCACTCGATCTCAAACTGTGCAAGTGGATGTTTTGTCAGACAACCTAATCACACTGTAAATCACCGATTTTATGCATTTGTATTAAAGAATCTGTCTATGTAACTGCCAACAAAATAAACAGCCGAACGCCGACTGCTTGCAGAGGGACGGAGGCAATGGCCTGTAACAGCGGCAGTGTTGGGTCATAAAGGTCAACTTTCGTCAATGTAGGTCAGCTATGCACGTGACAGGTATGAAGAGGTGTTACAGGTCGTGAATAGGGTAAGGTGGGTGCCAACTGTTAACCATCATATGGAGTTTGTTTCTCTGAGTTGTTCAACATTAACCACAAAACCCATTAGTAGGAATTATTCTGTAGGTTAAAATCTTTAAATTTGTAATGTTAATGTCATATTTTGTTTATGCAGTACCGAAGTGGAAAGGCATTTAAAGAACACTGAAAGTATATTTACACTAAATCATTAATCGGACCACCTATGGTTAGAACTCAACTGTTAAAGCCCCGTTCCCTCGGACACAAGCACACACAATCAAGCACTCTCATTGAAGAAAAGATAGAATGAAGACAAAAGTGTTGTGTTTTGATGTCGTTCACATTCCAAATTAAGCAATGCATTTCTAATAGCTTTAAGCATATAGATAGTTAATATTTATATTTTCATGATAATTTTATGTGAAATGAGTGTTTCATGTTACACTATAAGTCGTTGGAATTAGTCAGTGCTGTCATTGTTAAAAGAAGTTATATTTCTTTGAGCATATCTGGCTGGATAATGGCAGAGACCATATAATAGAGGGTTACGGCCCTCTAGCCAGTGCGTGCAAAACCATCAGCGCTACGGCTTGTACTGCGCAGCCTATCCGGAAGCTGGCAAAACGTGTGTTGACTTCAGTCATCGATTTCGCGTATTTTCATTGCAAAGGTAAGATTTGATTTTTTCATGTATTCTCATGCATATACTTACATTTGCAACAGTGCATTAGAGGTGTATATTAGGGGTGCTAAAGCATATATTTGTCTTTGTATTTGATGAATACTGTCATGTGTGCTCGTCGTTCTGTGAGAACAATGGCGGAGGTGTAAAATCGGCAAAAGTCCCGATTTTGATTTTCAATAACGGATACTAATTCTCAATGCAAATCCTTAGTTACCGGGGTGTAATGAAAGAAAATAAGATAAAGATTTGTATAGGGGCATTTATAAGTCTGTGGCGTTCGCGTCATTCCTTATTTTGGCTCGTGCAATGTGATGAAATATGATGTTTTCTGAAATATTTTACTCCACAACACTTGATTTTCGCACGCTTTCACAAGAACAGCTTATTACTAGCATGTTTGAAATAAACATGTGAACATTCACGGCGATTTCCTCTTTTGCGTGGTACACTTTTTATATGGCTACGATCGGTATTTTATTTTTTATGATTTTTGGCGTAAACCCATATTTGCGTCGTATACTGAACATTTCAATTATCATGTAGCAGACGACATAACATTCATTTTGTTCATTAATATAACGTGAATATATATTTAAATCATTCTACAAAAGTCTCATTCACCTAATCGTTTGAAAAAAAAGTACATATTTCCATTATTGTTCATTTTGATGATTATATTTGTGGAAAAGGTCCTTATTTATCATGTAACAATTCATATATTTTTCTGTTATCATTATTCTTCCTACTGAAGTTAGAGTTATATTGCTATATATTATTATATTATTATACAGTACCAGCAGCCTGACTTTATGCAACAATGAATCAACATTTTATTTATATCATTACACTATTTATATAATAAATTATCATTTGTTTGGCAGATGCCCAGGAAAAAGAAAGTTTTCATCAGCAGTCGCCGGAAGGGCTACTCAAAGTGGGGTCCGAGACAACAAGGTGTCAGTTCTTCCTCTCTCTCTGACATTCTTATTCATCAGTTCAATCAACTGTTCACGACGATTGCAGGTAAGTAATAATGGAAGTAAGAAATTCACAAATGATGTCTTTGAAAAAAATGAGTAATTTTGTGTTGATATTTTGTAGTTATTGGTATTTATTTATTTTATTGGTACTTGTATATCTTGTACCTGCAGAAATAAGTTTAAAATATCAAAGCAATTGTATAATCAAATATTAATATTGTTTCTTTTCTTATGTAAAAACAACGGTATAGTGTAAATTATTAAATACAATATTCCCATCTTGAGTAAGTAACTAGACCTTGTTTGAAAGAGCATTGGCAACCAACTATTGCATAATTTTAACAACTATTTAGAACACTTCAAATTTATTTTTTTAATATTAATATTGTGTAACTCCATTTTCAGTTCTAGAGATGCACTGTGGGACAAAGCATGGAAGTCATTCTTCATTGACCTCACCGATGAACCCACAGATACCCCATGCCTGGAAGAAGCGACAGATTCTGATGGTTGTTCGGCTGATGAATTCTTTGGGTTTATTTGACACAATTCACCAGTATCATCCGGACAACAATGTAGATGAATTTGTTGATGGCATCCTGCGATACCAGCAATATTTAACATTAAAAAAGGAGCTGTTTCAGCATGTAGATGAGCTAGGCAATTTTACAATTGCAAGAAACAAGCGTGAAAACATTACTATTGTGCAGTTTTATGACTGACGTAGGCTCAGTCCAGCTTTCAGTAGTCATCAAGCCATCCTTTACATCAGCAATATATGCATTTCGACGTGACTTTGGCCCAAATCATGAATTCTGGATTGGTTTACCTGCATTTTTCTCCACTCTAAGAGATATGAAGAAACTTTTATCAAAACTGACTACATACCATGTTTGCGTCGGCAATTATGAAGACAGATTTGGAGACTTGATTCCAGTTGGTGCAGGCATAAGTGAAGGAGCTATTTCAACAATATCTGCCTAATAATTTAACATGTAATAAAGTACATGAGTAGAAATTATGGAAATTAAAATCCAATGTACAGTTCACTTCATGGATATCTAAAATATCTGTTAATGAAGTTATATTAAGATTGTGTACAGATTTGTATGATTTTATGTTTTACATTCACAATCAGTCCTAAATGGACAACATAACTATGCAGGTTGTGTTGCAAGAAGTTTATAAGTTATCTTCCCTTATTTTATTTTTCTGTTATCATTATTATTCCTGTTATGATTATTCTTCCTTTGAAGTTTGATTATGAGTTTACCTGGGCTTAGACAGTACCAACAGCCTGTCTTATGCAACAACAAAAATGAAAAATGAACTCATTATTCAACATTATATTCATATCATAAAATTATCATTTGTTTTGTAGATGCCTAGGAAAAAGAAAGTTTTCATCGGAAGGGCTACTCAAAGAGCCTACTATTAAGTACAATATTCCCATCTTGATTAAGTAGATATACCTTGTTTGAAAGAGCATTGGCAACCAACTATTGCATAATTTTAATTTCAAATTCAGTTTAGAGTTTATTTGCAACAGTTGAAATTCACATTTACTGTGTTTTTAATGAAAGAATATCTAAATGGTTGAATTTAGTAATACATGATTGTACATATAGATCTATGGTCCTATTCTACAATAAATACATTGTACATATAAGAACGTGTGATGTTGTGTTTTAATGTTATTGGTTGCATTTTCCTGCCAAGTTAAAGTTGACACTTTGCTGAATTTTTTTAATTGATAGGGTCATGTAGTACAGCCCATTTAACACATATATTTCATGGGCTCGGAGGCAAGTGACTTTAGTATTTAGTGGCTTCCCTTTGAAAAAAACAACAAGTGTCTCCATACGGCCCAAAGCATAATCACTGCTAGCCCCAAACTTGCATTATAAAAACATTAACGCTCTTGGAAAATGTGAAATCGTGTTTCGTTGGGACTATAAACTTTATAATAAACACCAGTCAGTCACAGGCCCTCGTGTTTTTCGAGGATTCATGATTTTAATAATATTGTTTTTGAGATGACACCCCGACTCGAAATGCTTCACAGTACAATACATAATGACAAGGCCGGACACTTCTAGGGTGCACCCTACCCGACTGCGTTGCCGATCGCTATGCTACCATCGCATGCAATCGATTAAAACTTTATGTAAACATAATCATGGATGATTGGCCTATCGAGCAACACTCATGACACCTACCAATTCTTTATTGTTATTTCTGCAAGTCGATTGAAAACCAATTTTGACTCTCAACTAAACGATCTTGACACAAATGGATGACGATATGTCCGCACACAAAAGGGGTGTGGTCGAAGCAAGTCCTCTGATTGGCTAACGCTTGCAAATCTGCACATTCTTCATAAATTCGCGGGAATTTTTACTTTCATCGACTGCTTGACCACACCCTCGTTTTGTGCCAACGAATACTTGCAAGTAAATCTTGAGATTAGCCATGTGATGATACGTTTAGCGAGCATCGGGGATATTGGCAACTGTAATGTTAAAACTGCCTTTACCTGACTGGGTTAGTTTGATTTTTGTATTTTTGGTTTATATTCTCTGTCCTGTCGTAGTCTGTGAATTCTCCAAGTAAGTATCGAGGTCCAAGTCGGAATCATCCCAGTGAATGAATTAAGTCGTCCATGGCCATGCCGAATGTTGAAACAAATATTCCAGGCTTATGACGACACGCATTTCTTGAATGATACATGTTCTGCGATGTTGTCTGTTGACATGTGCAAATGAGAGATAAGATAAAAATTAAGATTATTGTAATCAGTTTAATGGAGCTGTCCATGTAATGTTTAACTGTCAAACGCAGCCGGTGAAATCCCGCTAAGGGAATTAACTCTCGGCCCGGATATTACGCAATATTGTTTACGTGGTTACCAGAGTGCTCATTTGCGAATGTCTGCGCATTTGTTGCGCATGTGTACCGGTAGAGGGAAGTTAGCAGCAGGGTGTCTATGTGTATCAGTTACATGCCAGGCCGTAGCGCTGATGGTTAGTGATAAACTGTTGGGGAGGGCCGTCCCTCTATTATATGGTCTCTGGTTTAATCAAAGAGTAAAACTGTGGTTTAGTGGCCTTAATTGAAAATTGTACATTGTTATTTTTTAGCCATTGCTGCATATCTGACTTCATTGTATTGGAAGTTGGGCACCTATTGTTTGGATCTCGAACACTGTGATAGGGAGCATTGTCCATGACAACAAGACTTTTGTAAGGCAGAGTTAGCAACAATTGTTCCTCAACATACTGTGTGAAACCCGTTGAGTTCATTTCTGTATGATAGTCCCTACCATCTGTGCTCTTTGACCGAAATACCAGATCACACCCAGGTAGGAATCCACGGTGGGAACCAGCATGAAGAACGATTAAACGTTCACCTTTGCCTGTTGGTATTTTCCTACCATCACTGGGATCAGTGGGTAGCCACTGTCTGGCAGCAGTATGGTTTGCATTGACCCAGGTCTCATCCAGATATATGGGTTCGAACCCATCCTCTCTTGCCTGCTTAATTTCTCTCAGATAGTTACACTTTATTTTCACAATATCAGATCTCTCACACATTACAAGTTTCTGGTTTGCTACCTTCTTGTACTTGTATCCAAATTTGAGCAGTAGTTTGCTTAACATAAACCTAGAAACATTAATGTCGTGATCCTTTTGCAAGGATGTGTTTTAACCTTCTTGTGGACAGGTGATCATTTCTAGCAAATAGCCGACGAATGACATCTCTGATGACCCTGATGTCAAAAGAATCTTTGGATGCCTACCTTTTTGTACAAGGTTTTGTTTATTCGTTGTTGGTTTATTTTTCACAATTTTTAGCACGATGTTCTTTTTCATGCTAAGAGCAAAAGTTGTATGTTTCATGTTATCCGACACCTTATAAATCGGTTTGCTACGTTTGCTCTCTTTTTAAAGAAAATGAAACACATTTCTTATTAAACGTTTAGCATCATCTGAATAAGCTTTCATGATGACAGCTAGCAGTAGTTAAATGTGAATGATCCAAACGGTCTATCATTGCGCAATGCACAGGTAACTATCATGAAGTGCACGTGCATTTACCTTTATGACCCAACACTGCCGCTGTTACAGGTCATTGGCTCCCTCCCTCTGCAAACAGTCGGCGTTCTGCTGTTTATTTTGTTGACAGTTACATAGACAGATTCTTTAATACAAATGCATAAAATCGGTGATTTACAATGTGATTAGGTTGTCTGACAAAACATCCACTTGCACAGTTTGAGATCGATTGGGTCATTGGATGAAGAGATATTTACAAAACCCGGGTCCACATGCATTTCATGCCAAACTATATGTAATGAATTTACAGAGACTGTCCAACATCTTGTAAGTGGATGCCCTTCTTTGGCACAAACAGCATATCTTAAACGACATGATGGCATGGCTCGTTGCTTTTACTACCGTCTCCGCCATGCCTGTGGCTTTGACTCCGAGGTCCATCCATTGTACGACCCTGAACATGTCCAGGGCGTCATGGAAAATGATACTTTCAAACTTCTGTGGAACAGGCCCATATACAGCCTCAGAAGAATTCCTGCCAACAAACCTGATCTTGTCCTTTTTGATAAAGCCAATGAATTTATTTATATCATTGAATTTTCTGTCCCTTTTGACAGGAATGTGATTGACAAGATTCAGGAAAAGCATGATAAATATGCGGATCTCGCCTTTGAAATGTCTCGCTTGCATCCCAAGTACACTGTCGTCAGGCTCCCCGTTGTTCTCGGTGCCCTTGGTTTGGTACCTCCTGATCTCTTGGCGCATATCAGGAGAGTGCCCATGTTCTCCACCGGGAGCACAGTCCTTCTGACACTCTGGGTAATGCAAAAGGCTGCAGTGTTGGGGAGCCTTCATATTCTCCGGAAAGTTCTTGGTGGGTTCGACTAGGCAGCGTTTCCTGGGAGAAGTCCCATTCGCTGTCTGGGCTGCGTGTAGAGGGGGAAAGGGCCCTGAGCTGACGGTGAGCCTTACCAGCCTGACTGTGCCAGGATCACCCGAACCCTCTCTGCTGCATATTATCTTTAAGAAGAAATGGGAAAAGAAATATAAATTCATAAAACAAAATATACTTTTTAGAAATAATGAAAAACACTTCTACAGGCAACTTAAAACAAACGGTGATGGTGAACATGATAAACGGCCTCCCACGGATGCCAATGAAAGGTTCTGGAAACAGTTGTGGTCTGTACCCGGCGACTGTAACCTGGAGGCACCATGGGTCCGTGATTATGACCATGCAATGCATGAGAAAGTAACGAGGTCGTTCGTCTGTTACATCTCACCAGATTGCCTGAAAGGTGTCATCAAAAAGTCCAAATCTAATACAGCTCCAGGGCCTGATGGTATTCGAAACCGGTATTGGAAACTGTTCCCCTGTGTCCAAGCACCATTACTTCACTGTTTCAATTTTCTTGTGGACACAGGTGATGTTCTTCCATGGTTCTGCAAAGGTCGCACAATACTCCTTCCCAAAAAAGGAGACTTGACTGATCCCCAAAACTTCCGCCCTATCACATGTTTGAATACTCAGTATAAACTCTTCACAGGGTCTTTAACAAGTCTCGTGTCATCTTACTGCTCTTCCAATGATATAATTTACCGAGAGCAGCTAGAGTCTAAAACATATCACCGCAACCTCTCCATGTGCTGGATTGACTATAAGAAAGCATACGACTCTGTCCCTCATGAATGGATTCATAAGTCTCTTTGTTGTATTGACCTCCTGGGGT